AATTGGGAAGATCAGTCTGGGTTTAGGGAGAAGCAACCCTGATTACAGGAAGAGCAGACACTGGAAAGAAACAGGGATTATTTGTCTGGATAAAGAAAATTGTGTGGAAAGATCTGAAATCACTTCCTAGCACACATGAAGAACTCTGAGGTAAAGGTTGAGGATCAGATATTGTTCATCCCTACAGCACAGAGGCAGAAACATCGGATGGGAGGATAATTTTCTTCAAGTATTGTATTCACAACAAGCAATACTAATGGACTGTAGGCAATAAAGTTCAAAAGATCCAAAGTTTCATTTCCCTCAACGGATTCAAATGTGTTCTTGCCAACAATAGCAATGAGTTTGTTATTTGATGCTTCTGGTATTCTATTTTCTAAAATTAACATAATTGATGTTCATGGTAGAGGAAAAGCAACCCTTTATTTTTAGATGTTGCTCCTTGCCTAGCTTGTTTATGGCTGTTGCCCATCTGTAGGCAGAAAATAAATTAATACCAGATAGATTATCTAGGAACACAGAGCCATGCTTACACCTAAATATTTTTTGAGCACAGTCCACGGTTGGCCTTGGACACATAATGATACACAAGGCTATCTCAACCCTTAAGTTGTTCACAGCTTAGTAATCTAGACTGATGCCACAAATGAATGAATTGTTGAATGAAATTCCCAACCCATATTAAAACCCCTGTATTTTTGCTTCCAATATAAAGTCTTCCTGCTGTTTATAGGGAGAACCCAAATAGCCCAACCGAAACATTCTTAGGAGAACATAGTTATATGTGAGATAAGCAAAGAATCAGATGTCAGATGTCATAACTGGACCTAAGGAGGAAGAGAGATGTACTGATAGGGAAGGAAAATGTAGAAATAAATTTTAAGCTGTTATCCAGTAGGTTGTTTCATAAGAAAAACCTTGAGGCAAGTATTGAAACTGGGAAAAGATTAATCACTTGTTACCTTGTTAAAAAATAATGAGAAAAAGAAAGAACCAGAAGCTGTTTGGACAACAGAATTAGGCACAAGACAAAAGGAACTTCCAGTATGAGAGAGAAATTTCTCTTTGCTTATCTGCACAGTCTTTAGAAACATTGTTACATGGAGCTAGGGTTCTGTTGAGTTCTAAACTTATACAGAAATCATTCTCTCTCCTACTATGTGCTATCACTAAGTTAACATTCAGTGCCAGATGGCTTCCTTTGTAGTCCTCAGTATGCAATGAAACAAGGGTCCTGAAGGTGAAATTATCTCTTGACCTCACTTGATGCTGCACTTGAAAGAGTCCATTTGATTTGGATGTTGAAGAGTCCAGCTGGACAGCAAACACATTGGAGGCATTCGGTAGTTAGCGTCAGATGTTTTCTTTCTAGAGAGGATTATTTCCGTTATTCCAACAATAAATAAAGTCCAAAGGGCTTGGAGAGGTAGTCAGAAAGTCCCACTACGGACCAGATGGATTCAGGCTTCTTAAGGAGAAGTCATGGCCCCCTAAAAGATCATGTGGATATTTATTTTGTTCCCTGATAAAACTGCCTTTTTATGATTCATGTTGGTCACTCACCAGAGTGATTTGTGTTGCTTACAGTCCATTTAAGGCACCAGCATATTTTTTAACATTAACATGTTTTTGTTGTTAAACATTTTATTATTATTGAGCTTTTTAAAAATTTCATACATTTCCCAATCAAATCCAGACCCCTGCCCCCATCCATGCCTCCTCCACCCCACCCCCACAGAACCCCAGGCACTCTGCCATACATATTAAGTCCTGTTCATTCAGGTGTTTGTACCCAAATGTCCTTCCATTTAAATGCATACACTGGAATCTAGTCAGCCCATCCAGTGGTGGGTCCTATATAAGTCATACTCTCCCTCACCCAGCAGCAATCAGTTTAAAATGCATTCTTTGTTGTTTCAAAGACTCTAAGATTGGTTGAGATTTTCTGTATGAAATACACAAAAATTTAATAAAAATTTTAAAAAAGAAAGAAAATACTTGTGGCAATTCTTTAGCATGTGTAGAATCTCTCCAAAGTCCAGATAACACAAGGAATTACAACTTTGTTTACTGAAGCAATGTTTTAGAATGAATTTATGTTTATTACATACCTAAACAAATGCAAGACAATAACTTACAGAATTTTAATATGGCTAGGGGCCAAGTGAAGAGATCAAGGAGACATAAAGGGCACTAAAAATATTTGTGAGAAAAATCACTGTGTGTTGAAAATCCATGGTGCCAATTTGATTGTTGTTGACGACTTTGGACCTCAAATCACAGGTGAAATTTTGTTTTATAAATCCAATGATTAGTCACAGCATACAGACTTTATTAAAGGAAGCAAAATGCATTTAGAGAAAACTTTTATCTAAAGCTGTTTTACTTATCCTACCCCAATGATTAGCATCCCAAGGGAAACCTCATATACTGATCTTTTCTGGACATGACAAACACTTTCAAGACTAGAATTACATTTTTTTTTCTGTATTTAATTTCATTATTAGATCACTAATCTCTCAGCCCCAATATTTTTAAAAAATCAAAGACATAAAGATTATGGAAAATCAAGATTTGATACAAATATGGAAAATATATTTCTAAACGTTGTGTATTTTATCTAAAGAAGAAAAACATAATTAAAATCAATATTATTCCTGAGATTGCTCTAATAACAATTATTTATTAAGCAATTTACTAAAAAGTAATAGGTCTAGGTAATGGAGCAATTTGATACATTTGAAATTTTATGACACTAATTTCTCTTCCTTATTAAACAGTTGCTACAACTAAATAGTTTAAAGTGAAATCACTGGTTCCACACAAGTGAAATGCTGAACTACAAATGCAAAGAGATTAAAGAACAACTATCACATGCTCAAGGCCTCATATTTAAAAACCTTAATCTGGTTGATAAATAGTTATATATGTGAAAGAAAACTTATGTAAGAGTTATAAAAATTGGGCAAGAAGTTCATTTTTAATATAATTATTGTTGGTCAACTCTATCACCTCTGAAAATCTGGGAACATTTTTGAATTACTCTTTGGACTTTTCAAATGGCAAAAGCAGTAGTTATAGCAGAGATGTGAGCAGGGCAGGCAGACTGCCTGGCTCCACAATTTACAGGCTGTATAATTTTGAGGAAAGTTATTTAAACACTTTGTAGTTCAACCTCTTCATTTGTAAAATAAGGATAATACATTCTGCCTCTGAGAGTTGCGGTGAGAATAATAAATTTGTTGTGCTTGGACTAATAAATTCTGAAATGTCTGCTCTCTGGAAATACTGGCTGTAAATAAACAGTAGACCAAAATCTGTGGTAAAACTGAAAATGGAATTATAAAGATTCAACTCTCTTCAGAGGCATTCAATAACTATTTCAGATGTCTTTTGGTACATTGTCAGTGTATTTTCCAATGTAATAAAAGCAATCATTTTTCTAATAATATTATCAATAATAAATATATGATTTAAGCCAGTATATAATATTTAGAATGGATCTGACACAATTCTTTTCATGATTTTAGTCCATGAATATTAATGAACCCACGTTCAGTCATCTAAATCAGTTGCTCTAGTGAAATATTAAAGAATTTTAAATTAGTTTAGCATTGGAGGCCCAAATATTTAGCTACAAGTCAAGAATATAAGACAAGTTGATAGAAAAAGACAAAGGAAAGCCAAGATGAAACTGGAAGACTCTGAGCCTCCCTGTTGTTCTAGGACTTGGTGACTATCAAAGATTGCTTGAATAGTTACACTGGTGTCAAGGGAAGATTTGCTGATATTGGGTGGAAAGAGGAAAACACAGTTACTCAAATGAGTGGAAACTCGCTGTCATTGTTCTTTGAGTGTAGTAAATAGAATGACAAAAACTCCCAAGGTTTTTTTGGGGAGATAAAAATGCTATGTTTCCTAGATGGATCAAGATCATGATGGATTCTTTCTGACTTTTAGGTGGCTTTTCAGGCTACATAAAAATTCAAATCAGATTTCAGCTTGTCTTTCCAAGGAAGGATTAAACAATACTCTAACACTGTTTTCTTCTCTTGGGCCTAGGTTTGAGGAACTGAGTCAGAGAGCTTCATTAGTAAGGATGCAGTATGTTGCAGTTTTCTTTCAAAAGCAAAGTTCCATCATACAACATTTAATATTATAGTAACTAAGAAACTAAATTAGGGGTTGGGGAGATAGGGCAGCAGTTAAGAACACTGACTGTTCTTGCAGAAGACCTGGATTCGAATGCCAGCACCCACATGGCAGCTAACAACTGTCTGTAACTCCAGTTCCAGGGGATCCAAAGGTCTCTTCTGTCCTCTGCAGGCATTGCACGACACGGGTGCACTTACCTACATGCAGGCAATACATGCATACACATAAAGTAAAAATAATAAAATATTTTTAAAAGAAATTAAATTAGTTATCACACACACGCTCAGAAAATAATATAGTATGGTAATACAGTATAACTGCTGAAACCATAGAAACATATTAATCATACTGCGTGATATGTTTATTCTCACTATCCTAGCACTGCAGATAGTTCCAATAGAGAATCAAGTCATCATCTTAACAAAGTCCTAGTGAAGTTCTGCAGTTGCAGGGAAACTGGGCTTTCTCTTCTTATCTGCAGTATCTCAGGACTGTAATTCCCTGTCTTTTCTTACCTGCACAGTTTCCATAGCAGTATCTACTCCACTGTGTAGATCAATTTGATAAAAGCATTTGAGTATTCTAAATATTTATTACATATATCTTTTTTTTCAAAAAAATTGCTTTTTTACTTTCCGTGTGGCAAAACATCATTAATGAAATTGTTACCTGCATTTGGGGGTGGAGGAGATATAATTCCCAGAAGTTCCTTTTTAATCAGCCAAGAGTTGGGGGAATGATGTGAATTACAATGCTTTTCTGCCTCTGCCAGTATTTCCAAGTCAGTGAAGATGGCAGCACACACGTTCACATGCCCACTCACTCATTCTTTTCTGTCTTTGCAGTTCCACCATGGTTTTTAAATCACCCTTCCAACCTCTATGCTTATGAAAGCATGGACATTGAGCTTGAATGTGCAGTTTCTGGGAAGCCTGTGCCCACTGTGAATTGGATGAAGAATGGAGATGTGGTCATCCCTAGTGATTATTTTCAGATAGTGGTAATTATCTTTTTTTAAATATATATTATATTTACAATCCCATTTGGTGTTTGCTATTTTTCTCTTGTTTTTTTTTTTTCTGAAAAAATGTTCCTGTTCACCAATGTATGATGTCTTAAAAGAATTATTCTAAGAAACAGATAACTTGTAGTCTGAGAATTCAATGGTCAATCCAGTCTCATGTTTTATAGATAAAAGTAATGGAAGAGTAAGAAAAAGAAGGAAAGAAGAAAGAAATGAAGCAAAGAAGGGAGGGAAGGAGGGAGGGAGGGGGGAAGGGAAGGAGGGAGGGAGAAGGACAGAAGAAGAAAAGAATGAAGGAAACCCACAGATGATGGAAAGAGAGGAGAGAGGACAAATGAAGGCCTTAATACTTTCCAAATATTCTCACTGCTACATCAAAAACTAGAACTTTTCAGTTGCAGATTGCAGTGACCCAGGACTACCTTGCTTATTCAACTTCTGCCAGTCATAACGTTTTTCTATAAGATGTGCCACCCATAATTATGATAGTCTTCATTCAGCATTATGCATGGCTTGTCCTGGTTCTTTTCCAGATGGAGCCAACTGATTCTAATTAAGAGGTTATTATAGGGGCAGTGACAGTGGTCTTGGCAGTGGCCTAGGAGACCCAGAATCTGCATTGCTTTTGTAATTTTACTTTTCATGTTGGAAATAAGTGAAGTTAGGATCTAAAGTTCTCATTGTTCACATATGCTTTAGTTCACATTCAGTATCCTTGTGGGAGATCCTAGGGATACTGGTACTGCAGCCACCAACTTGCTCCATATCCGCTATTATTGTTCTTGTTGTTATTGATGAAATGCTTCGCTCATTTGAAAAACCACTATGAAAACTCCTGGTAGGTAGGTGTAGGCTAGCATCAAAGTTTCCGATTTCAGACGTATATATAAGAACTACTTTTCAACTGTAAAAGAACTTTTGAAATACACAAGAGGGTCTTGGGAACTTATATTGAGAAAAAGATATGGACCTATCAAAGGAAAGCTGTTACAAAAGCTAAATATCCTGGGTAGATTGGAGTTAGAGTCTGGTCATCCTGTAAATCAGCACAGGCTCTCCCTACTGCACCACACTCCCTTGTTGGTAAATGACTCTTCCACAATCAGGCAATTTCCTGAAACTTTTATACTCTCTTAGTTGCCTGCATTTTTTCTATGCTCTATTTCTAAGAAATAAACCTGTAAATCATATCTTTATTATTTCTATCATCATTTTTCATTTTCCCTTCTATTTACATTTGTTTAATTGTTAGGAATAGAGTGAGAGAGGGCAACATTTTACTTTTGAATGCCATACCAATGCATTATTTTAAATGCAATGCTCTTTCCCCTGCCACTGAATTAAAAATGACCTGCCATTGGGCAGCTTGAAGGGTGGTATATGTGGCTGAAATATATAGCTACTTTCATGGAAAGGAAAGTGTTGAGTGTCCTTAAGGACACATGATAAAATGCAACATTTATTTTTTTTCTACGTCTTGAGTAATCTTGCTCACAGCAGGAGTCATTACAGCCAGCTATTTAAATGCTTCTTTTACTAAGGTGAAAGAAAATATAGGTATATGCTCTGTTCACATCAAATTGTGCTTTAAAACATTCCTGAATAGTTCCAGAAATCTGAGAGCCATTGTGTGTCACTCATATAACACTGAGCTCAAATAGTAACTTATAAAAGAATGGTTAATTAGAAGTTAGCCAGCTTTATCTAAGAATTTTACATCAGTTGAGAATTGACTACAAGACACTAAAAACAATTAAGAATTCCCCATGAGGTAATATTTATCTGTTAATGACTTTAGGGAAAGTGATTTAACATGTCTCACTTACTGAACTAATTCTTACACTAATATCGAAGATAAACCGAGTTCCTGTAATTAAATACTATCTCTAGATCATTTTATCATCCACCCTTGAAGGAGATTGTGGTTCAATTTATATACAAAAGGAGTTAGCATTGCAGTATTTTAACAGTGGGATGCTGATGGTAAAAATTTTTTGCTATGGAACAAAATGATATGGGTGCAAAATATCTACTATCACCTCCACTTCGAGCCCCCAAAGAATATGTCAAAAAAATTTCAATTTTTTCGAAAAAAAATTTTAATGTTTTATTAATTATTTTTATATTATGTGTATGAGTGTATTGCCTGCATGTATGTGAGTGCACTGGTGTCCTGCAATGCCGCTGATGCCAGAAGAGGGTATTGGTTTCCCCTGGAACTGGAGTTAAGGATGGTTCACAGCTGCCACGTGGGTTCTGGGACTCAAACTCGGGTACTCTGCAAGAGCAGTCAGTGCTCTTAACCGCTCAGCCATCTCTCCAGCGCCCCCAAAAATATTTTTTTACATTCATTTGGGTAAATACTTCAAGAAAATATTTAAGCTAGATACCTTGCTATTTAAAATGTGCAAAGGTGCCTGCTGTTGTTTTATTTAGTGTTGTTTTGTTTTACCTGAGTGTCCACTGTACCTAGCTTCCTTCAATAAGAAATGAAGGAATGAATTTCTCTTCAGTTGAATCTTGATTTCTTGCATACTTAATAAAAGGCCATTCTTTTGACAGAGTTTAGATACTGAGGATCATGTCCGGTTTGTAAGTAGCCTGTCATTACAGACCTAGCTTGAGTTGATACCTGTGAATTCTAAACTAAGTACTGATAACATGAGACTGCCAGACAACATAGGCTATAGTGGCACGGCTAAGAATCCTCATAGTTTTCTTTTTATGTCTCTCTGTACTGTAGTACTAGACCAGATGCTATGCTCACTACGTTACCTTGAGGGCTCCCAACCTTCATTTAAAAATAATTTATCTGCTTTTCTTTTTTCTTTAGGGAGGAAGTAACCTACGGATCCTTGGGGTGGTGAAGTCAGATGAAGGCTTTTATCAATGTGTGGCTGAAAATGAGGCTGGCAATGCCCAGAGTAGTGCTCAGCTCATTGTCCCAAAGCCTGGTAAGATGTGGGAACTGTGGTCCATAGATTCATATTATGTGTTATCTGCTTGTAACATCCAGTGTGCTGGTGACTCAAAGACACTATGAAATTATTTAATTAAGATGCCCTTGTCCTTTAGGAAATTTCATATTAGATCTCTCTCTCTCTCTCTCTCTCTCTCTCTTTCTTATCTCTAATGAAAGAAAAATGTCTTCAACAATGGGGCTTCTGGCTTTAAGACAACCACATCTAGATTATTATCATCTTTATATTTGTGGCCTAGATTTGTTGTTGTTTCAATGTTCCATATAAATATAAAATGCATTGGACATGTGAATGTGCATATCTTAATATGCATTATACATAAATTTAGTTATAGTTGTACATATACACACATATGTAAGTAAGGTCCATACATGTATATTTATAACTATTCTTGTGTTTATGTAAGTTGGGAAAAATAGCTATTCAAAAGCAAATCCATTTTCTTATTTAAACAGATTTTGATATTTATTACTATAATAAATGAGGTCTTGGTTTTTGTTTGTAATGTTTTGACAGTTTATTATACTGAAATAGTAAATGCTTATTTATGTGAAAACTGTCATTTGATAATCCCATCACAACATAGTCACTGCTGGGGGTAAAGAAAGGTATAAAACAAAAGAGGCACACACACACACACACACACACACACACACACACACACAAGAATACACATCAAAGCCAAAATGAAAAAAGAAAGAACTAATCAGCTGACTTGAAAATTTTAACTTTAGCACTAAAAATTATTAAAAATATTCACCTTTAAAGTCAAGTGTTAAACATGTCCCTTACGTAGATATAAATTCTATTAAATGTTCATAGTTCCCATGGAAGTTTTCAT